GCCAGCCCCTGCAAAGTACACACCCGATCTTAGTTCTTGGCATCTTAGCTTCCGGAAACATTAAAGTAAAAGACAGGAAAGACAGGCAATCCTTGTATGATCTTTTGCTTGTGGCACTATATAAAATAATGTTTATTATTATAATTTTCAGACTCTTAAACACACATGATTGGTATGAATTTAGTGTTTACACCAATTAAATATCTCACTACAATATTTTTTTTAAAGAAAATTCACAGATTTTTTCCAGATGTAGGTAACTAGTAAGGAGCAATTATATACATTTTTACACAAAACAGACTGGGCACCAGATTTGACTATGATACTACATCGGGAAACAACCACGCTGGTGATGAAACACTTCCAGTATGGATAGTTTCTGGCCACATGCTGTGAAATTCAACTGTTATCTGAGAATGTAAGTGAGCACTGAGCTACAACAGTATGAGTACTAAAGCAGTTACAGTATTGTGTTGCAGCACCATTCTGTTTTGAATAATTCCATTTGCATGCTTCAACCTATAAGGACTTTATCAGCTTATAGAAGCTTGAATTATTGGACTTGAGTTAAAATATGACCTATTGACTACAGGAAAACATTCAGCTTAGGACTGTTCCTTTAATATAAACCAGCAGTGTACAGTAAGCTCATTCTATCTTACACATACATCTGACAATTCTATGATGACAATGCGGAGGTGTTTACAAATGAGAGTAATACAAAAGTAGGAAAAGTAGTAAATTTTATATGATTAACACAAATAAACATGCAGTTTACTTTGAAAGCTTACAATATTTGCTGTAATATATATTCACACAGTCTACACACCCAGAGGCAAGCAGTGGAGCATGTAGGTCACTGACAACTCACTTTTATCAAACACAGACATCAAACAAGATACTATTATCCACTGTGTAGTTGTGAATTTCTGTACTCACACCATTTGATCTGCCTATGGGGTGATGTAGTCACAGTGTTACTCTGAATGGAACCATTATATTAACCATGTGAGAGATTTAATGATGCACTGTATTGCAATGTCACAAGTGTCAGGCCTTTCTTTTATCTATGTCCCTTCTGACGAACGTGTGAAAATGAACAATCACTTGGAGAATCTTAAACAAGTAATCCTGGTGTGCACATACTGTAATACTCTTCAGCGTATCTACTGTTTCACACGTGAAAAGAAATATCCATATAACACTGTTTTGTACTGCTGATACTGTACATAGTTCAATATCTCAGCCACTATGGCCCATCACCCAGAACTTATGCAGGTTTCAACAGGGTTAAGTGAAGGGGGAGCACAAGACTCCCCCATCTGGATGGGATACCAGTCTGTCACACAGCCTACCCCCCAACAAATGTGAGGGTATGATGGTGCACATGATTCTATGTGAATTGGGTTATTTGTAAGAGTTCTCTGCACTGAACTCTCGCAAACGCCAAAACCCAACTGTGTATATGAAAACAAAATAACAATTCAAGAAAGCATTCATTTTCAATATTTGAATATCTCCATATTCAGTCCTTGATAAGTAGTGATAGCTAAATTTATGCTGAAAACGTGAAAAAATAAGAAGAAAATGTTTTTATCTGTGGAGTCCTGTTCAAGTATAAGGTATATAAAGGGGAGAATAGGAGTATGAAGCAAAGAGAGTTGGTAAGGAGACCCTTACAAATTCTTTCTTGCCTCTTTAACCTTATCAGCGTGGAATTAACCTGAAATTGTTCTTTTGCAGCTCACATGCTTACACAGATCCCAACTCCAATCTCTAAGTCACAGCTTGAATTTTTTAGTTAGATCATTTCACTTGTAACCTGTTTTCCAGTGAATCACCATGAAAAATATTAAAAGATGGACAAAACCTTACAATCAAAGCAACAATTCTCTTTTTTGAATAAAAAACGCTTGATATTAATCACAACCCCAAAATGTTGGCATTCAACAATTACAAACTGCCCCACACAACAACAAGACTTATAATACAAACTTTTAGTGCAAGAGCTGTACAGTTTCAAAACATTCACTTCACAATCTGCAGACACACACTTATGTATTCACTCAAATGTCTTCCCCACTTCACATCCTTTTCTGGCTACCTTTATCCTTTAATTAAGTCTCTTTCTTCATTAAAAACTGTTTACACTAACATAGTGCTCATCCCCTTTAGCTTTAGGGATAATAACTTCAGGCTTCTAAGTATGATGTATGACTAAATAAAGTAACCAAAAATAATTTGATCATAATTGCAAAAACAAAAATATGCACTGATAATATAAAATCATTTTTGAAAAGTAATGCAAAGATCTGCCCTCACCTGTCAATACCTTTTGATTTTTCAAGATGGCATATTTTTGACCAATTTATATTAGGTGTGTATTAGGCTGAACAATGTCTCCCTCTGTTGGAAGTATGATACATTGCGCCAATAACTTTGCAGGCTGTAACTACAAATTTAAATACAAATTTTTATTTACAAAACAAACTATAGTAAATCCTAACCAAACATGCATCTGAGGAATATTAAGGTAAGTGTAACACTACAGAGCTGGCACATGAATGAAAAACACTGGTTTTATAATCAAACATAATACACATTAGTACAGTGCAGTTTCTCAAACATTTACAGGCAACAGTTTTGCGATAATATAAATAAAAATGACTACTGCATTCCAGCAACTATAAATGTGCAGACCATGTGAATACAGTACATTAAGCAATCATCTTACTTGGTGTAGAGTAAACTATTTTAATAGCTTGAAAAGGCTTGAAATAAACACTTTAAAGTACATGAATCACAGTTTTCCAATTCCTCTAAACTGAGGTCTAATAAAAAGGCTACAGTTATGATTAAGACATATTATAAAAAGCTCGAAAGGCATGAAATCTCAATTTTACAATGATTTACGATGTTGTATTTTGAAACTAAATTACAAGATGTCAACACACCACTTTTGCAGTTTAATTAACTGCTCATTAGTAAGACATATTCAAAGGTCTGTGAACATTCATGGCAAGAAGGTAGACAGGAATAACAATCTAGGCATCATCAAACATCGGACATCACCCGGTGGATGCTGCACATTGGTGGTGGTGGAGGGGAGTCCCCATTACCTGTAAAGCGCTTTGAGTGGAGCGTCCAGAAAAGCGCTATATAAGTGTAAGCAATTATTATTATTAATTAAAAATCTCTTAAACTGTCTTGATTATTTACCTGATAAACTGCTTGTTAAACTCAATCTGCACTGACACTTTTTGGCCACTGCAGGTAATTAAATCAATAGCGTTCATGTGAGGTGTTATACTTGCAGCTAGTTATACTTCTATTTTGTTTTCCTTGACCATCCACACGACAAAAAATGCTAAAATATTTCAAGAAGAGAAGCCAAGGGAAAAGCAAAGAACCAGGAAATTAACTGTATATATTATAAATATAATGCCAGGAGATCTAGAAACAAAATGTGAGATAGAAGCTTCTACTTCAGGAGGTAATGAAATTGGAGATGACTGCAGCCTGGATATATACTGTTTCTCAGAGATAGGAAAGAGAGAGAAGAGGAGCACTACTCTATGCGTAATAAAAGAACACTGAGGATCAGACATTTAGAGTAGAATCAAGGGTCTCAGAATCTATGATGTATCAGAAGGGTATCAGAAAACTATGGTGTACACAAATCTTTCAAAGTACTGTATTTTCATTAAGACTGCAAATTAATTCTAAAATCATGTCATGCAATTTTCTTCACGGTTTTCCTTATATCCTTTATTCCTTATAATGTTTTCACCTATAAAAGTGTGCAGTTTGAAGAGTCTATTTTGGATTTAAATATTCACTTTAACAATATGTATACATTGTTTGTAATTCAACAAAATGGAAAATCACTACAAAGTGGTGAATACGTTTGCATGGCTCTGTACATCTTTAGAACCTACCAGCTGGTTGCAATGTTTCCAAAAACCATGAGTACTCTTGACCTCTGATGGCCATTCATGTGATCATTTCTCAGCTCCAAGGGAGGAATCATTTAACAGTCTTATATGTTATTACTGTTCCAGACAAACAATGAAATCAGATCAAAAGCCTTCCAAAATTGTATTGCTTTATTCTGTGGTCCTGACCAAGTCAAACTCGGGTTATTAATGTGATGAAGCAACCACTTAATCTCCACCACAGACTTACAGTAAACATATCTTGTAAAAGGTTTTACAAGCTTCAGTTACTGCATTCATGAGATCCTAAATCACTTACGGTCATCCTGCTAATTAAGCCTTGAGATTCTTCCAAGTCTCCTTTCTCGCCAAAAAAGACATCATTTAAGTTTTTCAAAACCTTCATGAACCACTTGTTCACAAAACAAAGTGGTATAAACCACCGAACTTGACAAATTACATTGGATATGTTTTGAGTGGATCATTTGTTGGATCCTGAAGATACTGGGAGACACACTGGGGTTTGTCACTGGTAAAAGAAACAACTGCTCCACAACCTTCAAATACGGAAGTAATGCAGTACACGATTGTGAAATTTTAAATTAAAATCCCATTCTTAATAAAACAGTCCACATAACTACATCATAAGACACTTGAAAATTAAAAGGCTATTATATTTTTTCATTCTAGCTCCATAATCTGTAACCTTGGCCCGAATTTAAAAAACTATGACAAAAAGCAAAAAATCTGTATTTTTGCAAATCATGATTAAAAACCACATTGTATACATACCTTTGCTGGATCATCACGTATCAGCAGATTAATATCAGCTTAATTACAAGTGGATATTAGTCTTCTGTTAACCAACTTAATATCAGAGTTTTGTGTAGCAATGAGCAATGGAATCAATCTTTTAACCCTTATTTGTAATGGTTTTGGTTGATGTTTCAGGGGTCACCAGAGCATTTTTACTTTTTAAAAGAGTAAGATGATGTAATGTTGGACGTTTTCAAACTGTAAACGCACTCACTAAGGCTGCACTTACAATCCTTGATGGAGACTAACCTGCCTTGCTCAGCCAAGAGGGCTCCTTCGTCCTTCAGCCTCTTGCTCTTGGCGGCACAGTCCTCCAGCAGGACTTCGCGACGTCGTTTGATGGCATGGAGCCAGTCCACCCCGGTATCAACGCTCACCTCTTCGGGGGCCTCAGCTTCGAAGAGCTGGACCGCCGCCTTGGACACCTTCTCGCCAGCTTTCCTCTTCCAGCCAAAAGAAGCCATTCTGTCAGGACAACAGGTAGCTCAGCATTCCCTCAACAACTTGAATTCAAACTCAAAGCGGATCTCGACCGTTTCCACAGGACGGTAAATTGCAGGCTCTCATCCTTATGTTGCTTCAATTCCTTAACAGTCTTATATTTTCAATTAAAAACACAGATTTTAAAATGAAGAGGCAATAGACAGAATTATTGTGGCATTATTGCTGTGTTGTTGAATTATTGTAGAGTTTTCTAAGTCTCATGACACAACCACCAGCTCAACAGCTTGGTGCGGAGCACACTCCAGTACACGTCAAATAGTGGTGAAGAGAGCTCATGGAATTATGATGTCCAAGGGATTATGGGTAGGCAAAAGTCAAGGAGGTATTAAGCAGGTTTTAAGGACTGGACTAGTGCATTGCAGGGTTTAGGGGTGTCATTTAGTAGACTTCACTCATTCAACACACGATGTCAGTTAAACCGATACTTTTATTGCAGCCTCTGTGTGCAAGATTCCACAACTTTGACACAAACTACCGCTTGTGAGCCCTAATGGACATACCGAAAGAACATGCTATTGCTGCAAAAGTCAAAACCAGGGGCATTTTACAGTTAACTTGTTTTCTCTCTTCACTGTGGAAATAGGGCTACATGCATCATTCCATCCTGCAAATGTAAACAGTGTTAATTAATTTATGAAGTGTAATAAGAAAAGAAGTGGAAATCAGACCCTCTGTGATTTTTAGAGTGAAAAACATGGCATTAGGTTTAGGTTAAAAGCATAGTGATACTTTTGTCAGCTAACACATTAGGAGCTACTAACAATCTTTTTTAAATCAGAAGTCACTTGAGAACATCAAGTGAACATTTACAATTTGGCATTTAAAGAATATTTAATGTGATGAACCCTGCCAATATCCTTACATCAAGGCTGTAAGAAGACAAACAATACGAACACTATATAAAATGAAAATAACATAGCTGGACAGTGACAGTGTTAACTAGTGTCCGACGGAAAATACACTCAGACATGAAGGTGGATAATTCCAACATAGTCGGATTGCTCTAGTCATTATTTATACTCCTTGCATTTGAAAATCCCTGAACTCTCTACATAATGTGTGTAGCCCACTTTATCTACACCAAGGCGACATGACAGCCATTCTGCGCCAGGAGAAGTCAGAAACTGCTTAACCATTTGAGACAAGTAGGAAATTTAGAGACGCCAGCTTGTGAAAGCTTCCTATTGCTTGAGATATATTCGCCATGTGATCTTCCTTAAATACGGTATTTTTAAAAACTAATATCTGGTGAATTCACATTTAATTGATAAAATGATAGTGTGCTAATAAGATCGAAAAACATTAGATCGCGTTTTATTCTGTTAAAACCACATATAATTCCCCACAGCGCTGCAATTAAGTAATAAAGTTCTAAACAAACCATATTGGGCTTAAACTGTAACAACAAAAACACCGTATGATCTCAGTCACAAATGTGATATTGTTAGAACAAAAGGAATGGAAAACTCATTACGTATCTAAAGTATTTTACGAGTCAAATGGTTGTTAATCTATTTAAAAAAGCAGAAACCGTGACACCGTTTTAACTGCAAATAAAACCTGCATTCAAATGAACGTAATTACACAAAAATACTCACAACAATTATAGGGATGTTTTGTTTCCTGAACTCTGAACTTTTCCCTCTTACCCCGGCAGTACTACCTAGTGTGAAACCTTCTTAAAGGGACAATTTCTTTTTAGGTCTTAGAATACATAAGAAGGCAAAGGGTGCGAATAAATGGGTTGTTTAACGGTAATTTTGTGTGCGTACAATAAAACATCCTCAGCCTGATGGTTAATGTTATTACTGCAGAAAACGCCTCTCGGCAAAATGCTCTCTAGTCCAGGTTTCAGGCCCAAGATAACGTCCGTCATGGAACTGGAAGTTCCACCCTGCCCCCTTCTGGCTGCGAGCCACAGACCGAGTTTATACCACAGCTACGTGCACAGCGCTAAATCTACTACAGTGCAGCTACCGTTAAAAATGCAGTGTAAATAGCAATTTAGGTCCGAAATAAAATTTAAAGTAACAGCAAAACATCACTTTTCATACATTTCAAATTCAAACTAAAATATTTTCTCGTGATCATTCAATATCTGTGTTTTTCAGGAAAACTAACCCTCACTCAAACGCAGGTAAAATGTACGAGGCTGAAGTTGGCTTATTCGCGTATTTCGTTCCACCTTAAATGCTGCTGTTGTGATGTTATAGTTCAGGTGGGTAGCTGCGTCAGCATGCGTAGGCTACAAAGGAACAAGTAATAGGTTTATACCATGCTGAAAAAAAGAAGAAAGAAAACACAACATTTCGGCCGTGGAGCCTTCTTCAGGTGTGATGTTATGTCGCCTTTCGCCTATAGATAGATGTCTACAGTTTAAATATACTAATCCGGATGGACTACTCAATAAAGGGGAATATGTAAGTAAATAGTGAATGTCCAAATTGCATTTTTGTATGAAACACATTTCAGAAAATCGAAAACCAATTTAAAAAAAACTCACAACAACACAAACTGGCATGTTACACGACTAATAAGGCAGCACGTGAATTCCTGACACTTTCTACATATTTAACGCGACCTTGCCTTCTGATCATTAAAAGTCTAAAAATCTTACATTTTACAATAAATTTTAATATAGTAGTTTTAAATAGGACATTTAGAACATGGCATATGAGAATATATGGTTAACCGAGGATGAGCAAAGGGTGATTGCACTGTCTACTTATTGCTATGAACCAACCTCCTGGTTATAAAAACGTCTAAAAAGTCTAACACTGAGATGTGAGAGACAGTGGAACAGACTATCAAAATTCTAACTTCAGGAACCTTTACTGTACCATTTTTAAAATATGTTCCTCTGAACATGGCATTAGAGAATACATTGGCAAATGGCGATTACACTTTCTGATGTTTTGCTATGGCCCTCCCTCCTGATTATAAAAACGTCTCACAATTCTGACACTGAGGTATGAGACAATATAACAGACTATGAAAATCATGATCTACAAGAAAATTTACTGTAACATTTTTTAAATATGACCCTCTGAACATGGCATGGGAGGATTTATAGTCAACTAAATAGTGCACCTTCTGCTGCCCTATCTTACACCTGAAGAAGGCTCCACAGCCAAAACGTTGTGTTTCCTTTCTTCTCCTTTCACTGAAAGTTTCAGCATGGAATAAACTTGATTTGTTCCTTTGCAGCATACGCATGCTGACGCAGCTACCCAGCTGATCTATAACATTCCTATAATCACAATTATGAATGTCCACTGTGGGCATATGTTCTATGATTGTTTATTCTGGCATTGAAGCATATTTTATGTCACACTGAAGTGTCGTAATCACTAAAAAAATATATATTTTTTTCCATTCAGAAAGAATGACAAATCACTATGAACTGCAATTAGCTTGTCCTGATCTCGATTTTCTATGTACTTGAACATGCCATGTTCAGAATGTCACAACAGTG